TGGCCGTATTCTGTGAACACAATGGGAGAGATAATGCAATGTGTCACTTCAGCTTCAGCTGAACACAGGCACACCCTGCATTTTTTCACAAGGAGGCACTGGAACGGTGATCGGATGCGTCGAGGAGAAAACCAAACTCTACAAGTAAGAAGCTTCTGCTTCGATTACAGCTTCTATGTAAATAATTCAAGCCTGTAAATGCTATCGGTATCAACGCTTCGTACGGAAGGTGTCTCGGCACAGCGGCACCCTCACCTCTTGCTGCACCCGACAGCTCGGAATAAACTTACAAGGCTGTGAAGAGGGTTTCCCGAGTGCTTCTCACAATCGAAAGCCCTGCTAGATGTGTCAACAGAGTCAATGTCGTCGCGTGCTGCCAATTTCACGGGGTTTCCGAGCTCCTTGGCGGCGCAGTCCTCATATTTTTTGTTGCCAAAGAAGGGCCACCCCGCCATAGATACGCGGAGCCATTCTGAACAAGGAAATGAGCCTTCTTGTTCAGGGCCTTCCGAGTGTTTACTGATCCCCAGCTTGTCATTCAAAGGTCCGTAGAAGTTGTGGACCTTTCTCCCGAAACCCACGGAATCGTCGTCTGCTGTGACTTCAGCCACGCCTCCGGTCGAAATGATGCTGTCAAGGCCAACCTTGGAGCTGGGCCATGTCTTGTCGTAGCCGGGAACCGGAACACCAGAGAGTTCAGCGATGTTCTCGTCGGTGTCCTTGACCTCAACTTGGTTGGGCACATGTAGGATTGGGAGGGTGATTAACCGACGCAGGTGGATGGGCTGCCTGACGCCAACCTGGTTTCCATCCGGACGCAAGTCACTACGCCGAATCTTGCTGTGAAATGAGTTGGCTGTTTCGAAAAATATCGTTGTATCGTCGTCATTGATCGCTTGCAGGGCGCCGGGGTTGAGTTTGTCCGCGGACTGGTCTGCCACAGTGGGCAAGGGAGCGGTGGCAGTGAAGTGGACGAGGAGGGAGAGGACGGCGGCGGCGGTCATCTTCATCTTGTGCGAATGTCTCCGTGCAGGCAGCTGAGCTGGGGTTCCGATGGTGAGGTGGAGGTGATTGACAGCTGGATTGGATCGGTGGCGTGGCGGACGGTCGTGTACCAAGTAATCGATCGGTGTGTCTGATGATCCTGAAGAAAAGCAAAGTTTATCGCATTTACTTTATACTTCTAGGTGCTGTCTTTTGCTCAGCCGTGGCCCCCATTTTCAATAGGAATAAGCTGAAAGAATGATGTGTCGGCCAACATTTGTCGCGTCTGGTTGTTCTCGAAGCAGACCGGCAGCATCGAATAGGCCAGCTGAACTACGGCCATAGCCCGGCCCAACAGTTGGGCTTCTCTCGGTTTAGGGGAGGCGTCAGCTTGCTCGTACCACCCGCATTTGACCGAGACATTTGTCGTTGCAGGCTAGCGCGGTTCTTGGGGGCCCTCGAATGTTCAGCTCTCGGGTTAACGAGGACCGCATGCAGTTTCTCGGGACTGCATGGATCGATCGTAGCAAGATGGATGTGAAACAGAAGCTCAGGTCTCAGATATGCCGATCTTGACCACTAGCCCATCCATTTCTCAAAGTCAGCAGGCATTGGGGAACTCGCGCCATCTGCTTCACTCGAGAAGCCCACGTCTGTGGTACCGAAGTGATTTCCTGTTCTAAGACGTACAGAAGCCCTTGTGGCTGGCACATGCTCACTGTCCTCTTGACGAGTGAGGAGTCGCAGGAGAACCACCTTCTTGGGATGCGGGTGTGATAGATCTAGAAGAAGGCCAAGCTGGAGTGAAGGCGTCTCAATCCGCCTGGCAGTGTCTCAGAAAATGAGTGCGTGAAGAGGTAACAAGTGCCACTGTTGCAGGAGAAAGATATAGGCGTGTACCTTCGTCGACTGGAAACAACCCTCCATCATTGGATTCGTCCGACGATGAACATCTAGTCAATCTGACGAAGGCCCAAAGAAACATGAAGTCCAAGTTGGGAGCTCTGGAACTTAAGCTTCCGAATCTGCATAGTCCGGCTTGGATATAGCCTAATCTGCCAGACGATGTGTCACATCGACCTCCAGTTGTGGATCGTATCACCGGGAGTACGGCAATGGTTATTTGCCGAACACAGGCTTCGACGACCTTGCCCGCACCGATATGGTGGTATGGCGGCCGGGCGGTAATACCCAGGCATTCAGCCGAGAGACTGGCGATCACACGATGGTCAACCGCCCCGCAGACCTTTCAACGCAGCTCTCTAGGTACGTACATGCATGTGTAGGCATCGGGACAAATAAAAGCAAGAAATGACATATGACGCGAGGCTCTCGGCACAGCTTTGCCGTTCTCTTAAATATGTGCCGCCGCGGGTGAATGCTACTGCGGGGTGACAGCCCCAAACAGGAAATTCGGGCATTTCACAGCATTCTCCGTTTCTTCAAGGCTCTTCGGGGTCTTAGCAGGCGTTGTAAGATCTCTTTGGGCATAAGTCACGACCTCCGCTCCAAAGTGCGATGATCTACAGGGACTGATAAATACAGCGAGCATTGTTTCTATTTGCTTGCTTCTACTCAGAAGCTCTCCGTTTCATCTGATTCCCAGTCAACATGCTCGTCAACACCCTTTTTGGTGCCCTCCTGGCTGCAGGTGCAGCCAAAGCGCAACTCGATGTCTTGGCCAAGCGAGCCGGCCTCGAATACTTCGGTTCGGCCCTCGGTGAAGGCTCTATCAATTCAGACACCCAGTACCGCAACATTCTGGCCAACAACCAAGAGTTCGGTCAAGTAGTCCCGGAAAATGGAATGAAGTGGGAAAGCGTGCAAAGGACCCAAGGCACTTTCAACTACCAGCAGGGAGATATTGTGAGTCAATGAGCCTGTGTTACTCGGTTGACTGCAAGCTGACTTGGTGTCAGTCGGCAAATTTTGCCCGGCAGAACAACCAGCTGCTCCGATGCCATGCTCTTGTCTGGTGAGTTGGTCGCTTCCAACCTGATACTGCACGTCAACTCAACGCATCCAAGGCACTCGCAGTTGCCTACCTGGGTCAGCCAAGGGAGCTGGTCAAGGCAAACTCTTACCCAGGTCATCGAGACGCACATCAACAATGTCATGACCCATTATCGGGGGCAGTGCTACCACTGGGATGTGGTAAACGAGGCGGCCGGTACGTGCTTCTCGAGCAGCTTGAACAAGAGCGCAAAAAAGCATGTCTAACTTCCAACGCAGATGACAGCGGCGCCGTGCGTGACAGCATCTTCTCACGCACATTCGGAACCGACTTCTTGGCCATCTCGTTCCGCGCCGCCCGCGCTGCTGACCCTTCAGCAAAGCTGTGAGCATATTTCATAGAGACAAGCAGCGCATTACTGACATGAGCAGGTACTACAATGACTACAATCTGGAATATAACGGTGCCAAGACTGTGAGTTATCCCCGAGTTCTTTATTACCGTAGTAGGTTGTGTCAGGAGGCGTGGGAGTCTGTCTCGCTAGTTGTTTGCCACATGGGTACCACTGGCGTGCTACTGTAGCGACTCCCAAGACAGACTCCTGATGACTCCTGATACGGCCGTAAAAGAAAATTACTGACTCCGTGTGTCGCAGGACAGGGTTGTCGAGTTCGTTCGCACCATCCAGGCTGCCGGCGCCCCCATCGACGGCGTCGGCTTCCAGGGTCACCTCATCGTGGGCTCGACTCCATCCCGCGCAAACCTCGCTACCGCTCTTCGTCGCTTCACCGCCCTTGGCGTCGAGGTGGCGTATACCGAGATCGATATTCGCCACTCTAGCATGCCCCCCTCGCAGTCGGCGCTCGTGACCCAGGGCAACGACTTTGCCAACGTCGTGGGCTCTTGCCTTGACGTCGACGGTTGCGTGGGTATCACGATCTGGGGATATACGGTAATAATTACCCTCGAGTTCATTGTAACCGTACTAGACTGTGTCAGGAGTCGTTGGAGTCTGTCTCGCGAGTTGTTTGCCACGTGGGGTCCACGTGCTGCTACTGCACCAACTCCCAGGACAGACTCCTGGTAACTCCTGACACAGCCGTAAAAGGCAGTTACTAACTCCACGTGTTGTAGGATAAATATAGTTGGGTGCCTAGCACGTTCTCGGGCGCTGGTGCGGCTCTGCTCTACGATCAGAACTTCAGCAAGAAGCCGGCCTGGACTTCAGTGTCGTCAGTTCTCGCTGCCGCCGCCACCGGCGGACCACCAGCTGTCACGACGACCTCCATCCGACCCGTCACGACTACGCCGACCACGTCGACTCCGGCGCCAACAACAATCAGGACGACGACTACAACCACCCCACCTATTCCCACTGGCACCGGCCCTGAGCAGACACGTTGGGGACAGTGCGGTGGCATTGGATGGACCGGTCCGACGAGGTGCCAAAGCCCGTGGACCTGCACGCGCCAAAATGACTGGTACTCGCAGTGTCTGTAGGCATGAAAGAGGGAGAAGGGAAAAGCTATGGTTTCTATGAGGATGAGTCTGGCTTTGTCTGAAGGAGGAGCGAGCTCCTGTTGTTAACAACGACACAGTCTCTCCATTAACAGGCGAGGTGGCCGAGTGGTTAAGGCGACAGACTAGAAGCATCTGTCAAAAGGTCTTCATCAGCGATCTGTTGGGTTCGCCCGCGTAGGTTCAAATCCTGCCCTCGTCGCGGATCAATCAAGACGCACCTAGCTCAGCTGGGTTTCATTTTTACCATTTTCTTCTGTCATGACTGTTGTGAAATTGAGGTCCGTAATATGTTTTCGCGGCACAAGCAGGAGGGATTTGGTCGCCCACTCCAAGTCGCCAGACATCTTGCACTCGGGGCTAGAGACTGGACATGGAAGACGGACAGACTTGACTCTTTTACTCATCTGCTCAGGCACCAGAGAGTCGTGTAGTGCCCAAAAATTCCATTAGCTGGCGGGGGCAGGCAAGGAGGAAATTCTAAACCCTCTCCAGAGGGCCGATCCTCCATTTCTCCTCCTACACATCGGCAAAAATGAGGTCTTGATTCGAGGGAGGCTCGATCTCCCGACCTTCAGTGAACCATCTTGAGATGTTAGACTGACGTGATAACCAACTACACCATCAAACCAATTCGTATTGAAGCCTTGAAGTTTGTGGCTTCTTGTCAGGCCATCCTTTGCTCTACGTTGTGGCACTTGGCCACCTTGTTTCATGGTTGAACCGTAAAGAATGGCCCAGAACCTTCACCCCAAGCTCTGATCGTTCCTGAATGAGAGAATACCTTGCTATGCTACGAGGGGGATTCGGGGGACAGGTGTGCTCGGGCAGTTCAGACGCTGCCTGGTTGAAGCGGGTGCCGACTGCCAGCGCAGTGTCGTGTCTGTCTTTGGCCACCGGCCCATCAACTGCATGCTTTTAGCTGCATCTTTGGAAAACTTCAGTCATCTTGGCCACTTAAGCACTACTGGCCATCCAAGAGACCCGTTGAAGCAACCGTCAAAACAAAAAAATTGCTCGGAGGCGGATTCGAACTGCCGTCAATGCAGTATTGCAGTAGAAACCACAATGCATCATCCTAACCAACTAGACGATCCGAGCTGGTTGACACAGTGGGTCCACGCTGGAATGCTCAAGACTGGCAGCCATCATTCCCGGTCGACGTTGGCGTCGCCCCTGCGAAGGGCGGACTGCTCCCTGTCATCACGCTACCCGGAATACATCTTCGGAAACAGAAAATAGACCAATATGCCGGTGGTCCCCAGTGGAATAGACGATCTGATTCTGGTTTTGAGCCCCCGATCAACGTACCTATCCAACGTATTACTGGTCCTGGAAGCGTGGATGCCTTGACATACCAATGTGCAAGCTGGGAAATTTGGGTGGACAGTCCAGGCGTCATACGCATGTCTCACCTGGTGAGACTTTTAAGGTTCCAGCCCTACTGAAGACCGGCAAATAGCCGCTGTCAAACGGACCCGACGAGAACGCATTCATCTTCTCTCCAGCACTCAAGCTGCTGACTGGAATTGTCGGCCCGGCCTTCGTTCCTAGCTTCTCACTACCCAAGATCGATGCGGCTCGTCGCCATCCCCGCGAACCTCTTCAATCTACAGCGCCATGCTCCACTGACAGAACTAGCCTCGGTCGACCATCCAAACACCACAGCCACCGAGCCGATGGATCCTTCTCTCGCAGACGACTTCACTCTTGAGGCCTTTACGCTCATGGGGATCGGCACCCTCATCGTCGTCTTGCGCGTTTGTCTTCGCGCGCGGCAAGTCGGCATACGTCACCTCCAGGCCGACGACTACTTCATGCTGGGCGCTCTGATCTTCTACGTTGCTGGGACAGCGACAGTATACATCGCTGGAGTCAAGCTGAAGGGTCTCGACAACAGCAGCATGACCAACGTCCAGCGCGCTTCACTCGACCCCATCAGCGAAGAGTACCGACTCAGGGTCGCCGGGTCGAAGATCCAGGTTGCGGGATGGTGCGGGTACACGACGATTCTGTGGCTGGTCAAGGCCTCACTCTGCTCGTTCTATCTACGGCTGACGGTATGCGGAAGGAATTCATGGCAGAGTAATGACGGCTGACTCCTTACTGCTAGGCTAGCCTCGAAGGCTTCGAGACATGGATCAAAGTGGGCTTCGTCTTGCTCGCGGTGACGTACATCACTGTTATCTGTGCGATCCTCTTCAGCTGCCGACCGATGAGCCGGTTCTGGCAGATATATCCTGATCCTGGCAGTAAGTCCCTGCTACGGGGCCAAGCGCCCAGGAACGAAGCTGAGATTTCTTGCCCATCCAGCCGCCTGCCAGCCTGCCTACTCAAGGGTGTACCTTTTCATGATTCTCTCTCTCAACCTTTCGACCGACCTGTACTTGATCCTCATTCCGATGCCCGTTTTGTGGAGGGCGCGGTTGCCACTTGGCAAGAAGCTGGGCCTCACCGTCCTCTTTTCGGGGGCTTTGTTTGTCATGACCGCTGGAGCGCTACGGTGTATCCTGACTCTGAAGGTATGTTTCTCGAAGCTTGCAGGTGCTTTAGTTGGTCTGGCGCTTGATTCGAGTCTGATTATCCCCAGAATCCGGTGAGAGGCCCAGCTCTAGGGGCGGCGTGGGCCCTACGCGAGGGCTTTGTGGCCATTGTCACATCTAACCTGCCCATGATCTGGGTCGGGCTGAGGCAGGAAATCGGGCCAACCTTGAAGTCGCAACCTGGATCAGGGCACCAGGGGTCGGACAACATCATCATGCTCACGCATCGCAAGGAGAGATTTTGGCGGCGCATCCCCTGGAAGAAGGCGGGCGTTCGCACAGCGGACGACTTGCCCGACTTGTATCTGACACCGCAAAAATCTCGCAGATTTGAGGAGATCGACGTTTCGATGGGGAACGTGGTGCCGCCATCGTCGCTAAGGGAGGATTCTACCAGCCTTCAGGGGGACGCGAGGGTCGGGAGCTGACGTCTTACTCCGGCGACAAGGTTAAGATTGGAATCCTTCCCACCACCGATGACGGCGGTAGGGAAGGCTTCTACAGTCATCCAAGACAAATGTATAGACATTATTTATGTCAATATGCCGACCACTCTGTGACGAGGCTCCAGGGCGTCCCCCTCAAGACAAGATCCAACGGGTCTTTGGTGGCAAATGTAGTCTGGTGGAAGATGAAGATGATATTAATCTCGAATTACCCCATCTGAGTCCCCTTTACCTAGGTAATGAGGTGGTGCTGCAGCAGTACAGTAGGCGCTGACGGTGCCGGGTACAGTCATTCGCCCGCGCCTGGAGACCTCAACTGCCCGTGCATGAGCTGTCTCGGCCAGCTTCATAAACCAGTGGAAAGGATGTGTGTCGATGGCAGCGCCACAGTATCTCATCATGAACCCCCCCAGCCAAGCACCCCCGGATCGTCACTGTGCAGATCACCGCTACCTATGCGATACTCTGACGCCCATCGCTGGGGAAATGCGGGGTGCAGCGCTGCATGTGGCTCCCTGCTCACCTCCTCTTTGCTGTACCCAAGGGCCGATCATCTCACAAGGGAGCCGTGAGATTGGGCCGGCTTGCCGAGACAATGTTCACAGGGAGCAAGAAACCTGTTGTCAACACGAGAAGTCGCACCCTCTTCGGTTCACCTCGGGGTTCTCAGGCCGCAGAAGGGAGAAGGCCGAGGAGTGGCCTGACATCGCATGATGGGCTGGGGCGAGCTGACGACTCGCTTCAGCGAGGTTTGCTACAAAAGCGACGTTTTGATTGCACTAAATGAGGTGGCTGCATCTCGCCCGGACCGGTCTCGCCCCACGCCGATGGCTTTTCCGAAGCTATTCCCGTCGAGGGCCCGACGCCTGCTTTTTCCCCATACGAGGGACATGTCAAGCAAGGGGGTGATTTGCCTCCGGGCGTGGGGGTGTTCGGGTCAATCTGGAGACGTCGCTGGGAGGAGCAGCACAGTGCTGGAACAGGAGATGCCCCTGACAACTCCCAAAGCTCGAGCAGCGGCCTACCAGTTGAATGGAACTCCGCCGACAGCTCACCACCCATCCGGTTCGGGCTCCATGCATCGGTCGTACATCTCAAAAGGGACAGGATTGATCGTTAGATCATAGGATCATTTGCCTAAGTTTCCATATACCATCCGGCCTGCCGCTCCTGGCAAGTCACCCAACCTGGTCAAGAAGGCTGCCCCTGAATAACCCCTTGTCTCCCCCAGCTTTTAGCAAGGATGCCCATGACACGTACTGTACAAGCGCCAACAAGGCGCGGGGTTCCCACCGGCGCCCACCTGCAACGGTCCATCTACAGGCCCCTTACAGGCTCACAGGCCCTTCTCCCCCGCCTCAAGCGCCAGCTCGACGCGGTGCAGCTCCGCGAGTCCCTCGGCGATGTACTTCATATCCTGCGCCGAAGGCTTCGTGCAAGGCCTCCTCGGTGCGCCGCCATACTTGTCGAATAGAGCCACAGCGGCCTTGACGCCTGCGAAGCCCGTCCGGATGGCAATCCAGTCGCCCTTGGCCACGACTGCCTGTAGCGCTCGCGCCTCAGCCAGGCGACCAGCAGCGAAGAGTTCCATGATGCGCACGCAGGCCCGCGGCGCAATGTTCGCCAGTCCGGCGATGGTGCCGTGCGCGCCAACAACCATGCCCTGCAGGATGAAGTCGGCGCTGCCGCCGGCGACGAAGAAACCTTCGGGGGCGTCGGCGGCCACGCGCGCAAGCTTGCCCGTGTTGCCGCACGTCAGTTTGACGCCCGCAACGTTGGGGTGCCGCGCGATGCGCAGCACGGCGTCCGAGCTGAGGTCGCGGCCCGCTGCGGCGCCAGGGAAGTTGTAGATAACAAGCGGCACAGGGCTCTCGTCGGCCACGTCGTGGAAGAAGCCCACGACCTTGTCGTCGTCGAGAAGGCCTCCGTAATAACTGGGCGGCAGCATGAGGGCGTGTGTCGCTCCGGCTTGTGCTGCGTCATGGCACAACTGCAGTGTTTCGCGCGTTGACTGTGCGCCGCAGCCCGCAATGAGCGGCATTTGGGCCCCATGCTCACGGCGGACTGTGTCGGCAGCGCACTGAATAACCGCTGAACGCTCCTCACGCGTCAGGTGCACCACCTCGCCGTTGGACCCGTGCACCACGATACCGGCCACGCCTGCACTGATGAGCCGCGCCAAGTGCCTCTCGAGGGTCGCTGTGTCGACCTCCTCGGTTTCGGTGAAGAAGGTCAGTGTCGGCACGTAGACGCCGTCGGGAAGCCTGTAGTGCAGGGCCTTGGGAGCGCCGTAGGCCTCCTCGGCTGAGGGCGGGGTTACTGTCGTTGCTGGCATGATGGAGGATGGGCAGAGATTGTCGAATAGCAATGACAGAAAGGACTTTGGTATTATAAGAAGCAAGGCTTTGGGGGTATAATGCGGTTGGTAAGGATAGGAGATGGAAACATGCGTGAGGGTGAGGGCATGGAGGAGAAGGATGAGGAAGATGCTGCTTATAAGCACCGGCGCTCAGCTCTCCTCCCACAAGGCCAAGCCTCCTCCAACTCTCCAAACACCAGCCCTTCCTTCGACGGACTTTGCCCACGACCAGGACCAGGCCTGAACCAGCTTGTTCGACAGATGCGGCTCGGTGTCGTCGTTT